CTACACCGCACCCACCGCAACAACAGGCCCAGGATCATGAGCCAATGCCGGCCACGACGAGCAAGTTCAACAAGCGGATATCGTCCCTGCACCAGAACCACGAAGCCAGCGTACCAATGGTGACCACGACCGGGCCTGCGCCATCTCAGAGTGAGCACGAGGCTTTACTAGCCGAGTTAGTCCAAGCCAAAACCGCCGAAGCAGTGGCGAAGCAAGAAGCCGAAGAGGCTCGGCAAAAGCTGGAGTCTATACGCAAGTCTCACGGATTGAGCCGCTCCGTATCAGCGCATGCTCCTTCTGCATCACAGTCTGGACCCGGTGGAGTGTTCAGTCTTCTTACCGGCCACGGGGCAGCTGCCACAAATGACGTCGCGATGAAGCCGGCATCGACCAATGCTGGATCTCCAGGATCTGGAGGCAGTTTCTGGGGTTGGCGAAGGTAGAGAGCTAAGATTGTGGCTTCGATCTCAACGAACGTCGAACCGTGTTCACGAGCCAATCACGCGACATGTCTTGAAGTGAAAGTTGTCGATTCTTTGTACATATTTTGGGAAGCATGAGATTCGTGCAGTCGAGCGCATATGTTGGGATGTTAAGGCGAGAAGCTGGGAACTCTGAGTATCGGGCATGGGCCACATGTGCCCTTTTAACGGTTGTTTTCCTTGTTTTCACATGTGTCACAAAGGCACCATCATTGTCGTCATAAGGGCGTTTGTCTAGGTACTTAGCACGGGAGTTGGAGTCTAAAGATGACTTCTGTCGGGGTTTCTCAGAATGCCGCACGATTGCGGATTGATAGATACTATATAAGTCTATGTAATTAAAAAGACCTTTTTATTCATGAGATTTTGCTCAACGATAAGGTACCTCCAATAATCTTCTGGAAGATGATGGAGAAAACGGAATCAGAGTAAGGTACGTACTGGTAATTACCTAGGTACCTCTTTATGATGCAAGCCATCGATCGACGGGGAATCATTCAGCCTCTGAACTTGGCACTTGAATATGTCATGATCAGTACTATCTTCCAGGACTGAAATTGGCGCTATCTCAGATCGATGGAAATGTTCGATGAAATCTCATAAAATCATGGTCCCCTCTGGTTCACGAAGTTTGTGGCATTAACAGTCACGGTCAGATAACTCTGGTATCCAATATGCAGTGTTGACCAATGAGGAAACAGCTAGATGCCATCATCGAAACTCTCCGTGTTGATATCCTCTTTTCTTAGTGACAAAATAACTCGAAAATTCCAAGCTAATACTAAGCTTACCTGAATATTCTTCTTATTAAAAGTAGAGGTCCTAAGCTTTTTACTCTATGAGAATATGAATATTTTGAGACTAAACATCGTTCAATGCTTGCCTAAAGCCAACAACACTAGAAAGCATAGTAGTTAGCCCATTTTCAACTTGTGGACAGGTTTGTTATTATCTATTCTTTCTTGATGTTACTGTCGTGGTGTGGAGGTGATAAGAAGATGCAGGCTTGTGCCCTTTGAGTTAGAGCTTTAATGGCAAGGCCCTGTCATTTTTTGAGATAAAGAACCCCCCTTTTTAGTGCGACTTTCACATGCGTTAGAAATGACCAGATCATCACGTCAAAGCATCATACAGGTTTATGCAGCGTTGCGGGTGAACTCTGAGGTATCCCGTACATGCATGCCTTGGCTCGAAATGGTAAACTGTCGTCTGTTTACTCTTGCTAGCTCCATATGTCACAAAGAGAATTGACTTTTGTCAATTTCTTAGAGCTGCATGCCTGGAATGTCGTCGTTCAAGCTCCCTGATGACGGGATCAACCCTTGTTGACGGATCAGCTTGGACATTTGGAGAAGTGGTGACATTGGCGGTACCTGCAGCCGCTGACTGGTGGAGCGCACATGGGATGTACTCTATAGGTCTAGCACTGCGTCATGGGTAACAGAGCTCCACCGGCATCATGGTTTGGTAAAGTAAGGTATCCAAGCTCCATCGTCCAGCTTTTGGACAAAGAGGAGCCCAGAGATCCAATGCTACGCAACAGGAGCTCTCTCGTTGACACCGGCGTTGTTAAGCGTCGGTCCACTAAAAGGAGATTTGCAGTGATTCACAGTAGCAATTCAAATCTTGCTGTAATGGACGGATAATGCGTGGGTACCACTACGAGCACCTGAAGTTGTGTAGCCAGCAGTGTACGTACGAATACCGAGCCAGTTTTTTCTTTCTTTTGGTGGGCTCCATGGCTGGCGACTGTCGTCACTCGTTCGTTCCCCCGTGCCTTCTTTCCCACCTGAAGCAAGGACGAAACTTGGTCCCCTCCAACACCTAAAAGAGAAGTGTCCCGTCCTCTACGAACACAAACGTCATTCCTGATTCCTTCACCTCCATCATACAAACTTGACTTCCTCGCTCTCGACGAGACTCTCTCAACCATCATCATCTCACCTCACATCACTTCACTTCACCCGCGCTGAACATTTAGCACCCTCAAGGTACGTTTCACATGCCTTATCCTGGACCTAGTCTGCTGCCTCCGACGGGGTCGCTCGTTTCGCTTGACTTGCCTGTTCCTCTCACACGACCACTCACCTCGCTCCCCCGACCGGACGCCCCTTAAGTCTGTTTTTAGTCACCTATCGGCTCAGACGAAAAAAACGTTGCAGCTCTGTTGTAGGTCCAGAGACGCGGAGCGGAGCGAGCTAGAAGTCGCTACGTAGCAGTAGCTAGTCAGCGTCGTGCCCTTGTCCTTTTTTACCCTGCATTAAACAAACAAACCAAGCTGTCCAAAATTTCTCTGGCCACTTTCGCTCACGCCGCTTTCGCTTTCTAGAGAACATCTTCTTCCATTCACCTCCTATTCCTCGTTCCCATACTTTCAACTATAACTGCACGACGGTTCTTTCAGCGAGCGCACCACTTCTTTCCACATTCTTCACACTACAAACCGTCGAAATGGCTGATTCCACCTTGGCCGCCAACGGCAACTCTCTTCTCGAGACCACCAAGACCAGTGAGGTAAGTTTTGCGTTGAAATGCGCTGGCATCGTACGGGGCGCCTCGAACTCGAACATATTTGCTAACCTCACTTTACAGTGTTTCCCCACGATCTTTGCGCGACAATGGCACTGCCCGCCATGATACAGGGCCTTCCCGCAGACCAGTATAACTAACTGACCTGACTTCCAGACGCCGCCGCTGCCTATCAGTCTGTCGCCAACGGTACGACGCTTCGTTACGAACCATGATTTTGACATGTTGCTAAAGTTCAATCTTTCCAGGCCCTGTTGCTCAGAACGTTTACGATCACACTCAGAAGGCCTCCAACGAGCTCTCTAACCTTGCTGCTGCTCGACGCACTCCCGCGAATCCCGCTGCTACCGGCCAGCCGCTCACACACTACCACTCATTCTTTTCTGAGCTTCTCTCATGGAACAACCCTCGTAAGTTGACTCTTGTCTCCTTTCCGACCTGCGAGAGCTGACGCAGTGACACGATAGGCGCATCTGCCATTGCTTATGTGACTATCATCGGTGCTATCTTCACTGCGCGATACCTGGATCTTCTTCGATGGGGACTCAAGGTTTCGTGGATGGTTCTTGGTGTAACCATTCTTGCCGAGGTGCTTGGTAAGGTCATTCTCAACAATGGCCTTGCTACTCAGGTTCGCCCTCGTCGGTACTACACAGTGCCTCGTGAGACTCTGGATGCCCTTATTGGGGACGTTCATGAGCTCATCAACTTCTTTGTCATTGAGGCCCAGCGAATCATCTTTGCCGAGAATGTCTTTGCTTCCGCCGCCGTAAGTTTGATAATCGGAAGGTTTAACAGCGGGAACTAACATTAAATAGGCTTTCATTGCCGCTTTCATTTCATACTTCCTCGTCAAGCTTGTTCCTTACTGGGGACTTGCTGTCATCGGTACCACCGTCGCCTTCGTCGTTCCCTTGATCTATACATCCAACCAGGAGCTAATCGATGAGCAACTCCACCACGCTTCCGAGCTCATCAACTCCCAGACTGCCCAGATCCAGAGCGTCGCTTCGAAGCAGATGGAACAGGTCTCCAACATCAGCAAGCAGTATGCTGGCGACTACAGCGGCAAAGTCCAGGACCTTCTCCGTGGCAAGACTCCTTCTCGCCAGAAGATTGATAAGCCTGAGCAGCCTATTTCTGCCAGGCAGCCGCAGTTTCCCTCCCCTCCTACCGAGGACCCCGTCACGGCCACGGAGGCTCCTCAGATTCCTACTCCTGCCGCTCTCAAAGAGGAACTGAATGCGCCCACCGCTATCGATACCGCAGCCCCTGAGCTCCCTCACGAGGATGTTGTCCCCAGCAAGGAGCCCATGCTTGCTTCTTAAGTGACTAATAGGTGACACGTGCCATGTGCACACGAGCTCAGAAGGCAAAGCTGCCCCGAGCAATGAATATGTTTTACGGCATTTCAGGGCGTATGTCGATCCTTGAATTAGGAGCAAAGGTTGTTCAGATTGGACTCGGGCGTGAAATGGTTTCTTGGGAGCATTCTCTGACACGCAATGCGACGACGATTGTTGATGTTGATGAAGGGTGGTTAAAATACGGATTGAGCAGGCAGATGCTGATGTTAGGGAGAGTATTCCTATAGAAACTCTTGATTAATACGTATGGGAGGAGATCGCATCTGGCCTGTTACTTGTTTTTGTACGTTTGTGGTTCGAGGATAGGTGTTTGGGATTGTTACTGTGTAGCTTGCTGAAGCAAATGCTATTCACTCGACTTTTTAACATACTGAATCGCTTTACTTCTGCTGTGTACGATACTTACACCACGTGTAATGTTCGTCATCAGGCCCGGGAGTTGAATGTCCAAGTAATCCTATTGTGTTATCTGGAACAAGGGTTTTATACTACGGTATGTAAAATGCAATATGATTGATCTTTTGATTCTCGAAACGCCAACCCAACAAGGTATACAACTAGCACCTTTCTAACCAATTGCATATAGTTCAAGCAACGGAAACGGAGATATTTACTTCCCCCTTTACTTCCTGCGCTTGCCACCACCTCCATCTTCGGCGGCGGCACGCTTGCGGCCATTCTTCCTCCAGAAGTCCTTGGATTCCCGTTTCTCACGGGCTTCCTTTTTCTCCTCGCTGTCTGCCAACTTCTTCTGGAAAGCAGCACGGTTCTTCTCCTTTGCGGCACGACGCTTGGCAGCAGCGTCGTTACGGATTGTGAGTAACTGCTGCATGAGAGCCCGGGCTTTCTTCTCCTCGGAACCAGGAGCCATGATGACAGCACGCTTCTGCATGTATGTCTCTTTCTTTTGCCTCTTGGTTTCGACAATCTGCGACTTGAAAGGAAGGTCAGCAGCAAGGGCGCGGGGAACACGGAGAGGGTTGAAGTGGCGGGTCTCTCGTTCAATAGTGCGGTACTGGCTGTTCTTGGGCTGGGGAGTAGGCACGTTCTGATCACGGCGGACCTCGCCCGTGAGTCGCATGGGCTGCCAGCCGATGAGGTTGGTGACAGGATTGTAGAACCGGTGAGGCTTGATTGGGTACCAGGCACGCAAGAAGACAATGTCACTAAGAAGAATCTTGTCCTCGAAAGTTGCGCGGAATTGGCCCTCGGGCTTGGACAAAGCACGCTTGATCTGACCGCGAATGCCAGAGACCGTCTTGATAGAAGCTCCCTCAAACTTGGCGATTTCAAGAGATGAGTTGAACATGTCCTTGATGAAAGCTGTGTTCTTGTAGATCTTTGCAGGTGTACCGGTAAGCTTGAGCTTCTTGACGATCTCTGTGGACTCATCGACGCTGAGGATTGTACCAGTAGCAGCGATGCGGAAACCGGGTGTCGACGCTGACATTGAGTTGAAGCAAACAAAGCCTGTATTGGGTGCAATTAAGGGACCGTAGATGGTACCGAAGCAATGCATATGCTCAGGTGTGTACTTGAGCATACGGTTGCGCGTGCGCGAGTCGGTGGTGCTGTAGATGGGCATGGTCTGGAAGCGACGCCATCCCAAAGAGAAGATAAGAGGATCATTTGTCTTGAGAATGCGCTTGTGCCAGCGGTGACGCTTGATGCGGACTTGAAGATAGCCGAATCGGTCTTCTGTGGCAGAGAGACCACCGACGACGATAGGTCGACGAGCATCAAAGAGCTTGACAAATTCGGCCGGAACACCTTCGAGGACAACCTTGGCATATTTGCCGGCTCGGTAGCCTTCCACAGCAGAGCGTTGACGCTCATCGAGGTTCTCGAATTCCTCCTTGTTGATATCGAGCTGCTTCTGGATCATAGCCTTTTGCGCCTCATACCATTGATCCTCACCAAACTCTTGCACATCTCCACCTTCTCGTCGAGCATTTGCCTTATCATTGAGGAAACCCTCGCGATCTTCCTCTTCGAATCGCATCTTGAGTTCCTCCTTTCGCTTTGCGTTCTTCTCTCGCTCGGCCTCAATATCGTCGACAGTGGGCTGTGCTGGCTCTTGTTGGCCTTCAGCCTCGAGATCCTCGAAGACACCATCGCCCTCATCATTTGAGTCGCCCAAGCCATCGAAGTCGCTGTCGTTGGCATCCCCATCACCGTCATCATCATCGCCAGCAGCGAGGGCTGTCGAAGTGAACTTCCTTCGTAAAGCCTCAACGTTCTTCTCTGATGCCCATTTGGCCGCTAGGTCCTCGTAGTCATATGCGGGTATTGACCTATCCTCTATAGCGTCTTCCTGCTCTTGTTTCGACTTCTTAAAGAAGTCATCTTCATCGTCATCGTCCTCAATATTCTCCTCTTCTGATTCGTCATCCTCGCCCTTCCATCGCTTGAGAGCATCTTCTGGGCTTAGTGAGTCGTCGTACATATACCTAGCCAGATCACTTGTGTGATATGAGCGTCTCTTGCCATGAAGCCTCATCGCAGTGCCATTCAAGTTGTCCTTCCACCTTAATGCTGCTGCTTCCTCGTCTGAATCGTATTCTTCATCGTCTTCCACCTCTTCCTCATCAGACAATGCTCCGAGGTCTGAGTCACTGTCGGCAAATGCAAGATCATCATCACCGAGTTCCTTATCGGCATCCTTGCGGAACATCTTGCCTAGTTTGCCTTCACTGAATTCTATCTCGGCATCCGAGTCCAAGTTTTCGTCACCACTCACAGAGCCCTCATCGTCTTCGTTTTGGTCATCATCGCCATCTTCTCTTTGGGCAAATCTAGGTTTGCGATGTGTTTTTCTGCCAGTGTCTTCCTCCTCTGGCACTGCCTCGACCTTGTTGCCGCCCTTAAAAAGCTGGACGCCGCCATCCATTTGGCCGAGAAGCTTTCGCTCAGCTTGAAGACCAACAATCATCTCTTCTCCTTCTCCTCGCTCGGCATCATCGTCCTCCTCCCGGTCGAAGCTGAAGCCCTTGTCGCTGGTGATCCAGATGGCATCACCATCAATCTTCAAGCCACTACGATCCGACATGGGAGCATGAAGCTTCTTTTCCTTTTCGTCAAGTCGCCTTCGCCCAGTCTTGCCTGTAATCTTCGCCATTGCCAGTTCCATCGATGGGGTTGGACAGGGGTCTGGCATAACCTCCATATTAGACACTGTAAAATCTCCCAAACCAGGGACGTGGACTCGTTGGTTGTGCGAAGCAAAATTTGTACCTCGCAGGTAACCGGAAAGTACAATCGACCGGTCGCAGTTGGGGTCTTCCTCGATCTTGGTCGGGTGCGTGATATCTCGGAAGCTGTCGATGACGGAGTAAGGGTGAGAATTGCGCCAGACGAGAGGCCGTGGGTTCTTCATGACAGAGAGGAAGCGTGACAAGTTGTGGATTTCGCGGTCGGGATATCGGCCGTTCATAACACCAGAGAGGTAAAAGAGGTGGGCGCCCTGGTACAGCTCTGTCCAAAGTCTCCTCTTGAGACGCTTCTTGGCATCCTTCAGCGCCTGTGGCTTCCGGAAAAGATCCAGATGTGTCAAGATGCCAAAAACGTTTCCTGGCATACCTGTAGCGGCGAGAATGTTGAGAAACTCCATAGTTTCCATCTCAAAGCCGTAATTTCCATCAATCATCAAGAGGACAATATCGGTAACCTTTGCGATGTCGACCATGGCCTCCAGTTCGTTTGGGCACTCGACAAAGGTCAGGCGTTGCTTCTTCGATGTGACGACCGTCACAGGGCCTTGAGGGTCCGATATCGTTTCTTTGGCATATCGTCGAATGAGCGATTTCATCAACGTTGTCTTTCCTACACCGGGAGGGCCAACGATTGTAACGAGTCGAGGCGGGGCCTCATCGGGCAATCGATCCACGAGCGGGACATGGAGACGCTTTTCCTTGATCTATTGCTGACTTTTAGCATTGCGACTTCTTATTCAAGGGAACAGAGAAGAGTCCTACATCTTGCGATCTCGCTGCTTGTCTCTGGAGCTTGCCAGGGTTGGCGAAGGAAAACGCCTTTGGGTTGCGCTCTGATATTTGTTAGAATGCGCCAATCGCTAATTGGAACTGTGTATAAGAATAACTTACCACCTGTATGCTGCTTCTTGTCTTTCTTGTCCTTGGACTTGCGATGCGGTTTGTGCACTTGATCTTCCATGTTTGCGTGCGACGTCGTCACCTTCCAAAGACCATCAACTAACTGACACGGTCTTTCGCCTTTCACTTTGCGTCCAAATTTTTTTAGACGCTAATAGAATTGTTATCGATAAGAATATCGTTTCCAAGACCGTTGCGGGGACCATGCACCGCCACTGCTCCCATCAGAGCCACATGTGGCTGATTCTATCCTGACCCTACTACCTAAAGTAGGCTTATCCACTCCAAGATTTAACGTTATTTGTGAGCTGCCCGTTTAAGCATAGATTCACTGGCCTTGTCAACGTGCAGAACCAATGCGTGTCTAGGTATTGTCTGGTGACGCATGCTTTGATACTTGACCGCTGTCTTGTGGGACTCATTTCCAACAAATTCTACGATTTCTAAGTGGTGAGCCCTTGGACTGACAGTAAGACGCGGCTGAATTACGATCCATCAAGTATAATTTCTATCGAAAAGGCCCCAATCCCATGTAGGTGACATTCATGTTGTGTCAAACAGTCATCAGATGGTGGGTGATAAGTAAATACCATGGAATACTAATAGTGTTATTGAAAGAAATTGTCGTGAGATGCAACCCACTTAAGGCCTGCAGAGTGTCAGTCTCACCATTTTGTCTGATCTAAGATCCTATGTTTTCAGGTAGATAGATCCTCGTGGGATTCCGTATTAGCCAATTCGAGGTCTCTAGCTCATCTTCGAATTTGGCTGAATGGCCAGTGGGAACGCCAAGTCGTCGAGTGAGTAATCCCCGGCCAGCACTGGCGTAATGGAAGCTAGTCCTCTGCATGACCATCAGTCCAAGTTGACCAATACCAGTTACATGTTGCTCCCCTTTATTCCTAAAGCAGCGTCCAACACTCTCATATCTCACACGCATCAGGTAATAAGGTGGTGTTCTGCGTATACGCTTACACAGTACGTACGTATTCCCGGATTCTTCGTCAGCCTTGTACGCACCCATGGTATACGTAGACTTTTCTACTACCGTGCATGCAGTCCTTCGTCAGCCCTAACGCCTGGTCGATGGCTTCCGTCATGACTCACGCGCGTCGTAGACTACGCAAGAAAGAATCCTAGTGGTTTTCCTTCGTTCGTAGTCATCGTAACAAGAGTGTCTAGCAAGTTACATTGCCAGGATTGAGTATATAACAATCAAGATGCGACGCCTTATGGACTTCATTCTCAGGCAGAAGCAACCTAGAGCTCCATCTAAGAACAAGAGTACAAACTGTTAAGCTTAATACTTTACTCCAAACCTTGTTTATAACTACCCACCAATCAATCACTTCAAACCTCCTTCACATCCTTCAATATGTCCAACAACTCAGGCAACAATGTTCCCACAACCTCAGACTGTAAGCATCACATTCGCAGCAAGCTGAACTTGAATAACAAGTAAATATAGCCCAGATAGATTCTACCAAGTATAACAGTTCCAAAGTCGCTGATCCCGAAACTGCCTCTATTGCTACCTTTTCCTCGTCAGCCCCCCTTTTCAAAAAGGACCAGAAGGAAAAGAACGGAACGGAAATCGATGCCAAGAAGCTCCAGGAACAGGCCCTCAGGTCACAGATTCGATTCAGTATGTAATCGACGGAACTCAAGGCCAGGGACATGGTGCTGATTTAGAAAGCGGACTGAAAATATGGCGAAGGGCACGGGCACATAAATGCAAAGGGGTGAAGGGTATCCTTGGTTGAAGTCAAGGAACAAACGACTGTTTATTCTTTAGATTTAAGAGTTGTGTCTCTAGAAACTATCGTTCAAAATATCTTCGTTCATCTTCACCATAGAGGGGCTGTATTCGGACGAATTCGGATCGGCCCCAGCATCCAGTAGAATGTCACCAACAATCCTTTGGCTGGCTTCACGTGCTGTCAGACAGTATTAGTATATAGTAGTCCATTTGAGAGCGAGATAGACCTTACCAGGTGTTTGCAAGAGCTTCGAAGGAGGCAGCGCGAACTGTATCGTCTTCGGCGGGCTCATGCCTGCATATAAATCGATATCCTCATCCCCTTCATCACTATCCCAGTCGATCTCATACTTCTCCTTTCCAGTGGCTGCGACAGTGTCATCAGCGAAGAGGTCCCGCGTCTTTCGTGCTGTCGCTGGCGTCTGAACACTAACGCCAGGTGTTCGAGGGCCCTGCGTTGCCGCCGCAAGACGTTGTCGAGCGTTACTTTTGTAGGGCGACATAAAAACTTCACTACGTAGAGTCGGTACTGCCATTTCGGGCGAGGAGCCTGGTGAGTCGTTCCATACGGGGGTGTCCTTCTTGCGTTGGGCGCTTTTGAGTGGAGAGATACGAAGGGCGGGCTTGTGTGGAGTTGCCTGAATGCGATAGTTCTTGTCGAGAACACGGTGAAGCAAAGGATCCTTATGAGGCTGAACAGACTGCTCGCCGGTCATTGTGTGGTCGCGCTGGGCCTGCGGAGTCATTGACATATCGGGGAGTCTAGCGGTGTGTTGGGCGAACAAGACAGTCGAATCCTCGTTATCGTCTAGGACTGTGGTATTGTTTCCTTCCCCTTCCATCTCGCGCTTCATGGCTTCGTAAGGAGATTCCATATCAGAAAATCGTGTCTTCGTCTTCCCAGGCCGGGGCGTGCTTCCTGTGAGCTCAGCATCATCAAGGAGGGAGTCCTCGACTTGGAAGGTAGATTGCTCGATGCCGGTCGTGGCGGCGACATCTTCGTGATGCTGAGATGTGTATTCTTCTGTTATATCTTCCCTCATAGCGGTACTTTCTTCCACGTTTTCGCTTTCGTCGTCGTTGGCGAGCTCTTCATAACCGGAGAGAGATACGTTGGCCGATGCCTCGAAAAATTGCTTCCAGAACTACATGTCGTCAGCATCACTTCCTTCGAATCCCGGTGACTTCATGCACCTTTGAAGCTTCCCAAACAGCGCGAGAGTGTTCTCCATACTGTTCCACTAGTGGTAGAATGCTTGTTGTCACTATGCGATGCGATTTGCTAAAGTTGTGATCGATTTCTAGCCAAGGGTCAGCCCTGGGTCGCGAAAATTCAAGATTCATGTATACCTTGAAGAGTCAGAGTGATTGATTGCTCTAGTCTTTCAAGCTCTTCAGTGAGAGACAGGTTGCGCGCTGCTACGCTTTGTCGCGACATTTTCGTTATCGGTAGGTTGCTATGGTTCAGTGTTGAAGGTTCAATATAAACAAACAGCCCAGGAATTAATGTTAGCAACTAACCTAGCGCGTGGGGTCATTTGGAGGGGCATCCACCACTAAAGATGGCCTGCCGCAGCAAGGGTGCAACCTACATCGATGGCGGGGTATCGGATTATCAATAGAATGAATAGGTTAGTAGGTTTAGACACAGGTATTACCAGGCTTGGCAGGATTTCATTGATATCTTCATGTCCTTCGTGGTTAATACTTTTTATTATAAATGTCCTAGTGTTTCGTGTAATAGTGTCCCATATCGAGCTTTAACAGTAATTGAGCGACCATATGGTCTTCACCAATACCCTCTTGTTTCAACCCCAAATCGTCCGAGACCTTATTACTTGTTGATCGGCTCTTTTCGGTCAAGGCTCGACAGACAGTCATGAAGATTTGCACTTTCTTCTTGAAGTTGCTATACAAACGCTGTAATTCTTCCAATTCTCTTGGGTCGGTAGCCTGGTTCTTTCCAAGAGCCTTGGATCGTGAAAATTTGGCGTATTCCAGAACTGCACCAAAGATTTCTTCAAGCAAATTTAGCACTGGCTGCTGTCGTTTCCGGAGAAAAAGAGAAAGCATGACTCGATCAAGTACTCGGGAGTGGAACTCTCGTAGTCTATCAGGACTCTCAACCTTATCTGCTGTACTCTTGGCTGTCGAGGGGTTCTTCAAGTCGGCTTCGATTTTGTCTAGTTTAGCCTCGAATGCTTCCCAAGGAATGGCGACCCCAGCATCCATGAAGAATGAGGTGATCCCGGAGACAAAATGGTGGGCCTCTCGAGTGAATCGGTAGGAAATGTCCTCAGGGTCGTTCCAGCGACTGGTCCTAGCATTGACATCTAAGAACAATTGGTTGACGACATAAACCATCCTCATGATTCTTAGCAACAGCTTGAAGACTCGATCGTACTGTGTCAAAATCACAGGGGTGATGATGCTGGATAATGCCGCAGGGGGCTTGTAGGACAATCGTAAAAAGTCGAGAGCTTCCAAGGAGTCTGGGTTCATGCACTTGTCGATCTCTTCCTGCGACAAATCTCGAACAGCAAAGCTCATGTCGCCTGGGAGCTCAGATGCATCCCTCGATATACTAGCCAGCTTTTCCTTGGCGAACTCATTGTCTGAATCGAAGCTCTCGGCTAGAACGCCCATAAGAGCTAGACGTAATTCCGAGCTCGCTGGTGGCCAGGTATCTCGACCTCCCAGGCGAAGGCCCATGACACCTCCTTGCCTCGCAACTCCAGCCTGCCTTTCGGCTGTTTCCAGGTCTGGGTCGAATAGAGCATGGGACAGGCGGCTTACGAACATGCCGCTACCAAAGAGGTGGAAATCACGATGCATTTTCAAGTGACCACGCAAGTCATGGTGATTAAACAGCAGCCTCAGACTTTCCTGATTAACAACCTCAGATTGCGCGGAAGCAATACCCCCAAACGAAAGCACGGGAAGAAGCGATGGATGAGGCGTGAAGTCGAAGCCATTGGTAGGAGGTTGAGACTTGCGAGTAGGAGACTGAGTAAGACGTTCACGCAAGATTTGACGCAAGGTATCCTCTTTGCTCCCATCATCAGGTAAGGGCTCATCCATACGTGCCGTAAGAGTATTCAAGAGCCCTCCAGCTGTTTCTGACGTGGGGTCTTCACGAAAGAACGGGTTTGCGATCTCAGAATCAGTCGCAAGGCCATTGCTTTCCGAGTTGACTCTGTCCCGGAACGAACAGTCGCGAATTGCCCCTAAGAGATCGCCGTGATACTTGGCTACACGTTTCTCAAGGTTCTCGATGGCGTTCCAGTCGTAAAGCCAGCTGACCTTCGGGGGATCGGTCGCACTGATGATAGCTGATGAAGCCAAGGGATGCTCGGGGTGGCACTCCCTAATGAACCGCAGATTCTTGCCTGTCTCAAAAATAGACTTGGCAATATCGTAGGGCATGAAATGGGGCATTTTGGTCTCGTCCAGGAGAAAGTCAATGTCCTCAACCTCCTGCCCGAAATCGTCCGTATATTTCTCCGTGTCGACTTTGACGAAACCTTTACTCGCTCCCACATTAGCTTTGGTTAAGGGAATCCCTTTTTCTTGCCTAGTCCCGATCCATTCTTCCAGGAACTCGATCCAAGGCGAAGAGACCTTCTGTAAAACTTCGCGCATAATACCTCGGAGTTGTTCTTCGCCGTAGTCGACTGAGTATGCTTCATGGAATACCTGGGAGAGAACATGTTGGTCTTCGTAACCTTTGCGAAATTTGGAAGCAAGTCTTTGAAATGGTATCAGAATCGCAAGCATTCCTTTGACTGTTGATTGGAGTTCCAAAAGCGATCGCGGTGTCTGCCTATGGAGAGCGACATGTCGCTGAATGTCCTTAAGGATTTGATCAAGCACACCAGCCAAAGCAACGCCGCATTTGGACGTGCGCTTTGCATAAGTAGAATTGACAAAGGATCGCAATTCGAACAGCATTGATCCGCAGCGGTGACATTGTTTTTCCAGGCCCTGGAGAACATCTTTGGAATACCCTGTGACCCGCATGCTTGGAATCGCCGGTGCAAAAGAGCGGCCTTTCTCCTGTTTGGAGTAGAAGATTGATTCTTGACCAAGAGCCAGAGCAAGCAATGAAGAAAAGTAGGCTTTGATATCGACAATAGGAACCTCGGAGCTTTTTAGTTCAAGAGGGTCGACGGACCAACCTAGTAAGGCATCGTAGACCGCGGCTCCAGCTTCCGTCACCAAAGGCTGTTGTTGGCCAGCCGGCGTACCGGAGATGAAGCTATCCCAAGTCCTGTGTTCTGGTGTCTTCTCTTCTGGTTCATCGGTATGTGCCCAGATGTCATCACCAATTTCCGCATCAGTTAGACTTTCCGTGGAGGCTTGGATGTTGTTGGTAGACGCAGTTACTTCTGGCTCTGGCTCTGGCTCTGGCTTGTCTTGAAGCTCAAGCTGAGATGGTAACTTGAAGAAGCCACTTTGCTCCAATGACACTTGGCCAAGCTGGACAAGCTCCGATTTTACATCTTCTAATAACACGGATTAGTAGGGGTACGGTTCAATTTCAAGGTCCAAATTTACCTTTGAGCCCAGGAGAAAAGAAGGGATTCTGAGCTTGTGGGCCATCATCTATTTGATGTAGGAATCTCGACGGTTCCCAAAAGTCAGGTATAGTGAATACAGCTCCCAGGTCCTCCTTGGATTCAGCCATGATCCTTTCTCGTAAAATGCATTCGATTCAATAACATAGTGCTCAGCAGCGCGTTATGGGTTTCAAAGCCGAGCCTGAGCTTGAGTCTTGTTATCAAAGGTACGCCTGAAGGGCAATTAACGCGATATCAACATCCATAAGGTGAGGTGCCCCTCCGTAGACGCGCTTTAGTGGACGTTAGGCGCGTTTCAGAGCCCCTGTGCACTA